CACGAATCACCAACCTGTCTAGTCGCATCGGCTTCCTCGGTCGCGGCAAACAGGGGGGTGCTCTGCTTCCTTCCTGCTGCACGACATGCATCAACACATCGTGTAGGAATGCCGACTCTTGCTGAGTTACCTCTCGATGATGGTACTTGAACTACATGTAAGAAACCACCAGCCCAGTGAGGGGACGCCAATCCAACCAAGAAGACCAATTTTCCTTTCCACATGGTCCCTCTACATACGCAGAGCAGATCCTGCTCTCGATGCACTCGACATCGACCGGGGGTTGTATTTGATGTGTCCTCAATTGTTAGGATGTGTTACAAGTGAAGGTGTGTCAGGCGGTCCCCTGCGGTGATTGGGCAAGACTGGCGGTCCCGCGCGCACCCAGAGGCCCGTCGCCCGTAGCGGCAACTCTTTCTCCTTGATTCATGTTGCACTTTGCGTTGTCCACTCTGTGCCGCACTTACCACTCTTGTACCCCCCCCCCCCCCCCCCCCCCCCCCCCCCCCCCCCCCNCAGAGGCCCGTCGCCCGTAGCGGCAACTCTTTCTCCTTGATTCATGTTGCACTTTGCGTTGTCCACTCTGTGCCGCACTTACCACTCTTGTACCCCCCCCCCCCCCCCCCCCCTCTCTCTGTGCTGCGTGCGTGTGGATGGCCTGGTCGTCGCTGACGAAAGAAATGAAGCTAACCGTCGGCGTGGCCTCCTTCTCGCTCACCGTTGTCTACGCGTTTCAGGCACGTCCTTTCGGAATACCGCAAGGAGGTGGACGACCTTCGACGGCTACGTGAGTCTTTACATTTGAGAGCCAGCTGGGTGTATAAATAGCTCATCACACGCCTGCATTTGATCTGCTCGCTTCCTCTCGGAACCATTTGTGGTTGGAAGAATGCGGATTTCAGGATCGCGCCGGGAACCGATGCCACATCCACGGGCACGACTTTAGGACTACTGCTGTACAGCTGCTGTAGTTTTTTTTTAGTATCATCAATTTGACCCAACGAATTTACTCTACATGTAGCTGCAGCTGCTGTAGCTTTTGCTACTCCATGGTTGTAGAATGATCGCAATTGGTCGACTATGTAGACTGCAGTACGCTGCTTTGTGCCGCTGCGTCCCCGTGATTCAGTAGCAACTACCATGGGCGGCAACAGGGGGCTTGCCACCTCGGCAGGATCTCACAGGAAGGGTGGACACGCCTAGACTTCCCGATGACCTAATCATCGTTCCCGAACGTGTTTGGTGTGCATGTCATGAGTGGAATCACTGCTGTGTCATCTGTACAACGTACACCAACAGCAGTAGATAGATATCGGACCCGTCAGCCCCCGTCGCGGAGAGGTGAAATTTGTCCATAAACACAATCGCGTCATGTGACCTCTTAGTGCCGCCGATCGAGACGCGATTTGATGCACACAATACCACGTTGATTTTGCTTGTTGCCGTGGAAATGCGTTGAGTTGGACTTCGATCTCTTCTTTGCTGTTTGGAAGCAAATTTGATCTCAGCAACTACGCATACCATATAGACTAGTATGCATATGATGTTGTGGCCCCAAAACGTTTCTGGATGTGGTTCGTTTGCAGGTTAGCATCGGCCGATGGCTGGGTCGCCCTGCCGGTGAATCCCTCCGCAGGTGGCCGGTCCAGAACAGTTTCGTTTAGCCCTTCCAACCTGGAAGACTTGCAGGTCGTTGAAAAAAATCTCCAACAAGATCAAGGTAAATGAACAGACTACGCTGTATATATGCTTTGGACCGTCCATTCTCTAGCGAGACTCAATTAATACCATTAATTCTCACCGCTGTCTCGTCAAACCTCAGCGTGCTTCTTCGCTGAGCGTTTAGTCCTTGATTTGGAGTACTGCACCTCTGCAAGTTCCACACAAGCGCCCCCTTTCCGTCAAAGCCGAAGGCTATTTCACATCATTGTGTATACTGTATACTCAGCTGGCGGTTCCTACTTGTGTGATCTTGCCAACTTGCGGCGCGCGTCCCTACCCAGGTATGCTCTGTGTTCCACTGGCCTTAGTCCTTACACCCATCCTGTCTTGTGTTTCGTCTTGTTTGTAGTCGATGAAGCTTGCGTCTTGATCATTCCGAGCTGGCGGCATCATCCTGTCCAGTATGACTGTCTGTCAGCCTGTTTAGAGGCCCTCAAGATCCCCACTGCAGTGCAGCCCCTTCCCGATGGATTGTGGGCACTTCTTCTTCAACGCCTTCAGGTGAACCCTTGGTGGTGGCCTTACGTGCACAGCAATATTTCTTTGTTTTAGGACATGCCCGTTGGTGGGCTTCTATCCGGAAAACGTCCTGCTCTAGGCAGTGCACGAGGGTTACTTGCACCCGGTTGTGTCGAGCAAACACCATCGTTCAGCGAAGATTGCAGCCATTAGTGACGTGTTTGTTCGCTGGGTAAAACGCAGGTGCACTCTGCAGTTATTGCCGTTCGTAGTTGTGATCTCGTCGAGTCCTGCGGAAACCACCAGGTGCATTCTTTGCGCAAAGCTGCGAGGAAAGGAGTCCTGGAACAACTGATCGTGCACGCTCTGCAAAGGCCATTCAATCATTTGGATTCAGCCCTCAGACTGCACTCGGATCGGAACACCGAGCGTCGTATAACTGTCATCGCATCGGACGACTCGGCGTGGCTTGTGAGGGCATTCGTGAACAGCCGCTCCCAACAGTGGCGTAAAGAGGTGCCTTTGAGCACGGCGGTACTCGTCGGTGGGTATCATAAGAGCATTGTTGGAGATCTAGCCTTAGATGTCTTTCCCAACCCACCACCATCACCACCTCCGGATGGACGCGTTGTTAAGTTTTTCAGCTTGAACGGTCGCGAAGGTGGTCGAGTGGATGGGGAGGGCGACGTCGACCTAGAGGCTTCGATATCGTGCATGTCGTTTGAAGAAGACTCCGAGAGCTGTATCCTCCAGGAGTACGTGGTTGAACACAACGGTTGGCTCTCTTTGCTAGGATCAACCTCTCTGCTGAGCTTATGGGTTCCTCGTGTTTTACGTGCTTAAGGCCGGTCTTTCTGTCAGTAAGGTGTTTCTGGTTGCTATCTATGTCGTGTGGGGGAATCGTGTGGGCATCCGGCTAGCTGTTATGGTATTAGTATTGTCCGTTGCCGGTGGTGTACGCAGCGTCTTCCGCGTGAAACCTACCTTGTATAACTTGTCTAGCGATTTTGTTGAAATTGTGTTGTTTTTGACATGACCGATCACGTCCACGGCTATTATTTGTGACCTCTTCCGTACGGTCGAATTTGGTATAGTTTTTCGTCACCATAACAACATTTAATCGCCTGCTCTCAGTCGTGTGCGCTGAAGCCACGGTATTGGAAAGGATGCACCCTGAAGCATCAGATAATACATCGTACTGGTGATGGGTAAATCTCCTGGGTAGTATGCGAATGTCGAAAGGTTCGAGGCCATGGCCAACAAATGATAACAAAGAGGTGACAACGAATACATCGCCCCTCCACAACCAAATCACGCAAAAAAATAACGACATAAAACACCCATACACAAATGTACTTAAGAAACCTTTTGTCAATGAACGTCTGCGATTTGAAACTTGTGCGCTCTCCGTAGCTTCACAACAACATCCACGAAATTTGTGCGAAACCTGTGTTGATTGTCTTAGTGGTGGTATAGCTCGATTCAAACAACTCTTCGTAGGCTCTGTCCTACGGGAGGGGGTAATCGCCATTCATGGCAATATTCTGCAAATGCGTACGAACTTCTGTTATCCAATAAATCTGCCATGAATATTTGCAGAATATTGCCACCGCTTCTATCTTCTTAATCCGAGGAGTAGCATAGCCTCCCCCATGACGCTCTCTCACGGGATCTCAGTTCATGACCTTTGTTCATTCATTCGTAGAAGTAATATTTCTGCTTTCAACCGCACTGAAACTGAGGTCTTTTCATTGGCCACTCACCTGTTAGCGCGGTCGATGCCAAAAATATAACACAGAGACCGGTTGCCACGGGTGTTCAGACGTCTATTTATTTAGTGTATTGGACTCTCATGCTTTCTACATTTTATTGACCAGGTGTAGTTTGCGGGTGTGCGGTTGCCTACCGCATATATATATATATGTAGCATATTTGAATATGTATGTCTACGAAGTTGTTAGTAATCTACCATCTCTCTTCTCGAGGTAAAGGTAATCGCGATCAAGCTATCTATGTATTTAGAAACAGACACGGAAACACCGCGAACCCCGTGTTGAAGGCAAGCACCAGAGAAAAAGGTAGGCGGAAAAGAACCAAACGTAAGCATGATGCCGACACACCTTTAAATTATCAGTCTTTGCTGTGGACCCTAGCAACTGTCGAAGACAGAGGCCGGTGCCTTGGCAGTATTGTCCTACTACCAGGGGAAGGCCCTTTCCTCTCGTGATATGTAAACGAGAAGAGGGTAGAAAGAGAAAGTGGCCAGAGAGAGCAGAAGGAGAGGAGAGTCGAAGACTCTCCGCTTCTTCTCTCGGTAGGTGGCCAGGGACTTCGGAAGAGACAAATCTCCGATAGTGCGTTTCTTGTCACTCTCCCAGTGACAAGATACCCCAATGGAGCTATATCTTCCTGCACTTTGTATGTGTACTCATGGTTGGTTATACTCCCGACAGGTGCCCTCCACATCACCCCCCCCTCTACGCCCATCTGTGCTAAAGACGTGCTTTTGGCGGCCAGAGATATGAGTGGCTCAATGATCATGGAGACGCATGTATCAGAGTTGACCTACCTGGTACAACATCATCAACTCGGCCTGATCATTGTACAACGCGTGGAGTCTTCAGACGGAGTAATGAGGTGTGGTCCATACTAGTGTAGTCTAGAATAGATGCATTTCGCATGATCATGCTCGCGTAGCGTGCTATGCTGTGGGGTTGATGTGGGATAAACTTGTAATGAGGTGACCCTCCGGCAAGTTTGTCTATTCATCATTATTTAAATTGCTAAGGAGGACCCGATTCGCAGGGTATCCGTCGATTGACTTTTACCTGAATCGGTACACCTTCGCATATGGCGTCAGCTGGATACTGGTTCGAATCTCCTTGGGTGCACACTTGTTCTCCTGACTTGGATATTTTCCCATGGACACAATGTGTGTCAGTCCTGAGGACACCTCTTGGAGTCGATCCTAGAAAGAACCTTGTGACACTTCCATCGAATTACCCATCCTGGCCACAAGAGGTTGGTTCCCAGTTGAGGGTAAATTCTGTGGGTGGAGAGTGTCAAGGAGGACCCGATTCGCAGGGTATCCGTCAATTGACTTTTACCTGAATCGGTACACCTTCGCAAAATCCTGATAAGATACAGACTTGTAATGAGGTTACCCTCCGGCAGGTCTGTCTATTCATCAAAAATAAGATCTTGATGAGGGATGAACTTGTAATGAGGTGAACCTCTGGCAAGTTTATCTAATCATCAAAAATATGATCTTGGGATGTCGGTGGTTTAGCTCAAATCTCCTCGCGAGTGTTTTTTCCAAACACATATAAAGAAATATTAGGCTGTTTCTAATGGATACAACCAACCACCGTGGCTACTGGTACTGTGTTAAATACAACACAGAATACTAGTCGAAAATATCCCAAGTTTCGGAACAGATAGACATGGCAACTGTTAGGAACGACAGAATAAATCAATCGTTTAATTTCCGGGCTACCTCCGGAAACGTAGTATTTAGTGATCAATTAGTGTTACCTCAGGCCCTTACCGGACTAGACTAGTGCTGCACGCTTATCAGGTGACCTCGACATTGCCTGTTACTTCACTTTGTTCTCTGTGGCCCCGACTGGTCTGGTAAGTCCTGATGATGGAGACTGGTGCCCTGAATCGATAGGACGAAAACAGAAGTAAAAACGCGCATCCATCGGTCCATCTGGACCATGAATAGTCTTGATTCCGTCCTCGAGGGAGCAATGGAGCGTACGTAGTGATGTACCGTAATCATCGGGGTCTTGGCACATATCGGGGTCTCGGCACATATCGGGGTCTTGGCACAGGGTGTGCGGAAAAAAAGCGGGTTTTGAATGTTTTGCTAGATTATCGCACAGGTATCCTGTACGGAGACGCCGATATGTGCGGTGAGGTTTGGCGGTAAGTGACACCCTTTCACCAGCATCTTGTGCTGGAAATTCCGGATACTGTGGGAGCTTGAATCGCGTGCTCCACTGCTACTGCTGCCCTTGGCACCATGACGATGTTCAAAAATGTATTTTGTACTCTTTGTCCTCTCCTTTTCGTTCTGAAGAATCAAGATCGGCAAATCGGCAAACGGCATCCACTCAACAATTCTAAACGTAGATGAAACCAAAAACGAAGTAAAAAATCACACCAAACTACCACTACGAGCTACCAACGTCCTACTACTGTCCTTCCTAGGCGGGTTGAACTCTGCTTCGTGCCCGCGCCCCTACCATCGCAAAAACATCCAATCTCACTGGCAATCCCAAAGAACTATAATTCAAAGTTCGACTACTTCTCCTTCGGCGCCCCCGCCCCCCTGGGCCTCCACGACTTCCACGTCGCTGTCGCCCTCCGAGACCTCCACCTCGCTGTCGCTCTCATCAGCGACGTAGGGCAGCAGCTTCCCCTCGACCTCCATCTGAGCAGCCGTGATGGGGTTGGAGTCGAACCCCTCTGGTACCTTCGGCAGCTTGAGCGGCGGGAGAGTCACGTCGGGGTGCTCAGCGAGCCACACGGCGCGCTGCTCCTCGAGAAGGTCGCGGTAGTCTTCCCCGAAGTTGTGCTCGCATCAGGCGTGGTCTTCGCTGCCGTCGAGCGCGAGCGTGAGACCGCAGACCTTGAAGCAAGTCTTGACCGTCTCGGGGGTGATGGACTTCCACGCTTCCTTGCACCACGTAGAGACGACCCCACGCTCCGGTGGCTTCAGCTTCCCCGACCGGGCGTCTGCGACCGCCGACGCGCTATAGGCGGTGTACTTGCCCCGCAGCAGCCGCTTCATCTGCTTGTTGGGCATGCGGTCGAGCGGTTGGAGCAAGGGCGTCAACCCGCCTGGGATGAAGATGACGATGGTGTTGGCGTCTCTCTTTGAGGGAGGCGATGAAACCCTCGTCCTTGTGGCACTTGAAGTCGTCCAGCACCAGGATGCGCGGGCGCTGCTGGACGATGCTGCCGTTGTTGGGACGGAGCTTCCAGCTGCCCGAGATCCACCCGTTGCACTCCCGCTGGTCACTTCAGCTCTTCTCCTGCACGCCGACGGACATGCCGTTGGGAGGGTAGCCGTGCTTGGCGCGGTTCGCAGGATGGATCTCCCACGTGACGGAGTTCTTTCGCGGCAGGGTGCTCTTGCCCTTGCCGCTCACGGTCGGGGGGATGAACGGCGTGCCCTTGAAGATGATGCGCGGCGAAACCTTTTTGCCGTCCGCCATGACGGCCAGAACGAGCGTGAAGCGTTCCTTCTCTTTGCCTGGGGGGAGGGGGAAAAAATCAAGGCGAGCGAGTGGGGGNGAGCAACCCTCCTGTGTCTATCGATAGAGCTACATCGCACCGTGTACCGGCACGCAAAAAAAAACGTGTGTCTTAAAAAATTGTCCAACGACAAAAAATCCGCACACCACACAACAATTTGACAAAAATATTAGCTCGCCCTCACTTCCTGTGCTGATGCGAGCATCCTTCGCACCGGTCTTCTCCAGCGGCCGCTGAAAAATCTGTTGTTTTTGCAGCAGTCATCGACTCGTTCGCTAATAATAGACTGATGCTACGAGACATCGAGGCTGCTGTCAGCTGTTCAGCTGCTACTTTCATGCTCTTGTTGACGCCGTGCTCACATAACCTCACATTGGCCGAGTCGGCAAGTGTATTCGTTAATGACACGCAGAGCACGGAGCGGGGGGAGCACCGCCGTGCAACGGTACAACGGAGGCGGCAGTAGCGGAGTAGGTCAAAGAGCTTCAAAGCGGCGAGAATTTGATTGGTCCATGTATCCAGTCCAAGCGGCGGGATTCTATTGGTCATTGTTAGCCATTTCACCAAGTCGCCCATTCCAGTGAGTAGCGGTTCTCCTGCAACTCCAGTGCACCGCCGCACGACCCCCCGCCCACAACAGATACACCAAACACGCGCGTGAGAGAAACAGACAGAGGAAGCACGCACTTCCCGAATGAGACTTTCAGCGCACCGAAGATATGGAGTTGGCATCGCTCTGTGGTTGATGGTGCTGATGATTGCCATGAGCTCAGTCTCCATGGAAAGCACTGATGATACGATCATGGTGAGAAGGCGGAGGAAAGAAAGAGTGAAGACTTACATTATTACAGGGGCGGGGTATGCAACAATCATTTCTAAGACAACTGCATCATTTCGGTCACCTTCTTTTTGTCAACAACATACCGTAGTGCCGATCGGCGTCCAATACACTGCTGCAGCAGTACCGTTTGTAAGCTCTGTGTTTACGTGCCTCGTGGGTCCTTGTCTGTCTCTTCTTAGGGCGCCAAGTGTCTGGCGACAAACCAACTCGTCGTCCTTTGCTTGTCCGTCATGTCTTACGATGCACAGTGGAGCCCTTTCGACCTCAGCACGGAGGCCTTGGCGTCTATCGCCGATCTAGATGACCATCCCATCGAAGACAACGATGCTGCTCGAGCTGACCGCATGCTCGCGGCCCTGGAGTCCATCCCCGAGGGCGAGCGCCAAGGCATGGACCTAGACGCGGAAGCTTTGCGCTCGAAGCCCCTTGCGGAGCGGTTGGCCGAGTTACAGGGGCTATGGGAAGTACGGCAGCAGGAACTCCGCGAAGCTTACGACGCGATGCCTAAGGTGAACGAACTACTGATGGAACGGATCGACATCCTGAACAATGCCGACGCGACGGATGGCGCCCTGACTGGCGCTCTCACCGACCTCGAGGACCTGCTGTCGGATATCGACATGGCTAGAGATTTCCATACTATCGGAGGATTCCCCACGCTGGCTTCCATGCTCCGCTGTTCGCGACCAGAAGGTGTTCGTGAACTAGCAGCGTGGGCAGTCGGCACTGCGGTGAAAAATGAACCTGAACATCAACTGTGGGTGTTAGAGGTGAGCAAGCACCAAGAGCAGCCATTGGAGTATGAGGTTGGCATGTAGCGGCACGAAGGCGTCGCCCCTCGTGTTGGAATTAAGCAGTCCTCCACTTTGGAGCGGAAGAGGAGCGATACCGTTGGTAGAAGCGCAGTTCGGAGCATTTTGTGTATTCATGAAATCAGTACGATGACACATTTTGTACTGAGTCTTGGCAGCGTCCACTATCGCGGCAGATCTCACACCAGTGGCAATTCCTCTCAAACGATTCCGAAATTGTACAAGGTTGTACGCACACGGTTTCCACGGCGTTTCTGCCTTTATATGTGAGGATCCTGACACGATGGCTGCCCTCTTTTGTCTTGTAGTACCATAGTTGGGGCTGGCTGGTGAGAAGAATCTCAGTCACTGGGGCTCGTTCATCTTGGAATGTCCTCCACAAAAAAAGAAATGTTCATATTAGTCAAGAAAGTAGTCAAGGTAGACAACACGCACACGTTTCACGCATACATACAGCAGCAGGCTATGTATCTCCTTATCACCTGCCGCCCTTTTGGTTGGTTGTATGTATATATACGTGGTGTGCCCGGTCTAAAACCACTGCACTTTGCGGAAACATGATTGATTGCTGGACAGTTCTTTGCGGTGCCAATGACTTGTAATTGTGAAGCTCTACCTTATAAATCCATCGACGGTCGATCTTCTGAATGAACGCGTTCAACACCAAACCAAGATTTAGTGACACATTACAGCGAGAGGCAACGGACAATGTTCAACGTATCAAGTTCCGAGTGATTCCGTGTGTTTCGGTTGACGTGGAAGCAAGTCACAACATGACGTGCACAGATGCTATGATGGGTCATCTGGAGAAACAGACGAACGGATCCATCCAAGATAGCAGCCCGATTTCGTTTTAGAGCAGATTCGAACCGGCGCAGTGTTGCCGGGAGTTGTCCTGACGCGCGCTGCGCAAATACGTTAATTACCCTTCTCTCGAATCTCTATGCGGACACATGCTTTGCTTTCGTTGTCCTTGTCTTCCAAGTGACAAACCATCTCGATCTCCTTGTAATATCGCCGTGTGGTCACACGCCACCCCACAATAGGACAGAAACAAGTGTGAAGACCCAGATGAAACCCTAACCACTCCAGAATCTGACAAAAAACATCCTAAATACAGGCTGGATGTGTGTGTGACGTGTAAAAGAGCCAACACATATTCCTTGCCCTGCCATCTTGTCTGCGTACGCTGCTGCATAACAAACAGGACGGTCCTGATTCCCAACCCTCGGTGCTGGCTCTTCTGCTGGAAAATGCGATGGCCGCCACGACCCCGACTCTGAGAAGCAAAGTTGTCTATGCACTTTCAGCGTGCTTGACAAATAATGGTGATGTACAGCTTCAGTTCGGCTCGCGAATGGGAGAGGCCGTGCTTTCAGCGATGTACGATGCCGATGGATCAGATCGCCGTGTTAGAATTAAGACCCTCACCCTCATGTCAGATTTGCTTCAAGAGGCTGCGAGAGGCTCGCCGGCAGCTGTTCTGGCCACGATGCCTGTTGGCTCCACGGCTTCGTCGGGCGGGGCCTGGTGTCGCCGAGTAGATGAAGCGCTGCAGCATGCACATTCTCCAGCTGCGCTGGAAAAGGCGATCGAAGCCGTTCAGTCTTTTACACCCTCGTGCAGGGATCAGTTTGCACAGCTGGACACGAAGCGACGATTAGAAGGCCTAGCCCAGCAATGTCGTACATCGCCTCCGGAGGGGTTCGAGGTAGCAGAGGAAGAATATCACAAGGAATTGACCCAGAAATTAGAAGAATGTGCTGTCGCTCTTCGATGACCCGAGCAGAGTAGTGTGGCATGTAGCGGAGTTTTCTCGAGGAGCTTGTAGGCGTTGTGATCAACTCCCACTTTCGTAGCAGTTTGATGTGCTTCACGAAATCAAAGTTGGTTTATACTACACGCTGCAACCGCCAGGATAGATAGAGCGCATTTTTTGGGCCTTCGCCATGAACCGTGCATGACGCTTGCTTGTTGACGTGATACCCTATGCATATACCCGGACCCTATACCCCCTCGCGCGGGGGGCGGGGCGGGGGGCGGGGGGTACACAGGCAGATAGACGTTGGGTAAAACAGCAGGTGGACGTGGCATCGTGCATAATAGATTAAGTTCTATTGATGGCCGCGATGCGAGGCTTACATGGGAAAATGAATGCACAATACGTGAAAAATTTACATCCAGATGAAGATATTTTCAGCACGGACTCAACCCGGCGGCCCCTCTTCTGGTGATCGGAGGTACCAGAGCAAGTCGCTAGAGATGTGTACCTCATGCCACCAAATGAGACAGACCGCTCGAGCCTACATGCATCAAACGACCACGACATGGGCATGTACAAAGGGCCACCTAAAAGAAGAGCCCTGGGGTTCGGTACTAACCCGTGCCTCATATGTATGTGAGTTCAAGACCCTACGCCGAATTTTTGCGATCTCAGTACATCCAGAGTGGAACCATCCCCAAAGAACAGGTAGAAAATAAGAAAAATACCACGAAATAAGGGTCAAACACCCTTACAGGGGAATACAGCGCAACAATTAATATCTGGCGAACGATGCCGACGTGCGGGTTCGGGTGTACTTTTCTTGCGAACGCAACAACCGTTTTCTGCGGCATGCTCACCTACTCGATTTTTCTGACAAGTTCTGTGACACTTGCAAAACCCTACCCGGAATTCAAAACCCTGCAGACCACACTTGCAACAGTCGGCTTTTTATGTAGCATACCTGGGTCTATTCCAAAGGAAAGCAGCGTAGAGTATACATATGCATACCTGACCATGACACAAAACACTATCTCAAATCGCACCCACCCCAAACACGGGTAGGGTAAAACCCTTCAGGGTGCACGGCACTGCTACTTCTCCAAAGAGGTGACGGTGAGGACGCGCCGTCACTGCCGTACAAAAAAAGGTATGCACGTTTTACTCGGCAACGTGCCGTCACTGCCAGACTGAAAAAGGTATGCATGTTTTACTCGGCAACGCGGTGAGGCTTCCTCCAAGACAAAGTCCATCCGCTCACTCCTCTTTTTCCGGCTGCCATAAGGGCGCCACCATGCTCTGTTTACCAAATATTTCGGGGCTGCCGTAAGGGCGCTACCATGCTCTTCGCGCGGGGCACAAATGAGGAGCTGCAATCAAGGAACAAATAGAGATCGAAGCGACTTCGCACTGCCGAAAAACTACCAACTTTTACGTGAAGTATGTTGTCCTTGTCTTGTCTTGTTAACACCAAATACTGCGTAGGGCGCACGGAAGACATGAGTAAATCAAACGAGACATCGCGCGCACGTCAGCAGTTCAGAAGCAAAACGCACCAGGTCAGCAAACAACCATTTTGGGGTAGCGAATTGCACCAAGGTGCGCGATCGCGCGCAATACCGCCGCCCCTTCGCGGAAGATCCAGTCTCGTCTGAGACTCAATCGGACGGGTCGGGCGGCGGCCATGCCTCTTTTGTCGTCGATTACAGCTCTGGCCGACAAACCCCTTTCAAACCTACTCACACCCAAAATATCACAAACACCAAACTCGTTCTACTTTGAAACTTCATGCCACACTATACCATCGATCGTGTACAACTACTGCAACAGAGTACCTTTGTTCTTCGGTTCAACAGCAACCGAACACGATCTGGCGCAACGCAAAATAGCCAGTAAACCTTAGCAGTTCTGGCGTAGACCCAACCTCGGGGCTCATCTTGAGAAAAAAAATGCGCCACGTAGCATCAATCGCATTTATAGCTTAGACTTCCCCATCGTACATTAGACTCCTCCTTTCCCAGAACCCCGTCCACCCCAATGACCCAGTCTGCTGATTCAAACGTGGAACAGGAGTGACGCTGGGGCTCTTAAAGCCCTTCACAATGTATTAGTAGGGCTGGCTGCCGTATGTTCCTTCTGCGGGGTTTCGCGCCTGCTGCTGAGCCTGTACCTGCGCGTGTTGTTGCGCTTGCGCTTGCGCCTGCTGCTGGTTGCGCATCGCAGCAGCATATTCCGCTTGCGTATACTGCGCCTGGCCATCCGGGAGCCCATAGGCCGCCTGGGGTGGAAGGGTAACAGGGAACGACCCTGCCGTCGTCCCTCCTTCGGCACTGTAGGCAGCCCCAGCCCCTCGGCCGTTGTAGCCGTAGGGGGTGGGAGCGGAATACATCTGGCCGTTGTACCCATATCCCGCCGCGGCGTAACCGTAAGCTGGCTGTTGGCCGTACGAGGCGGCCGCATTTCCATTAAAGGGAGCCCCACCGTTGTTGTATGGGAACGAGCCCCCTCCCCCATAGCCAGCTCCCGCGCCGCGGCCACCAGCACCGAAGGGTTGGGCCCGCCCCCTCGTGCCTGTGAAAGGCGCGGCGACTCCACCCCCTAGCGCAGGGGAAGAACCACCTGCGAACTCTCCACGAGGGGCACGACCGCTGCGGTTCTCCTTGGGTTCTGCACGCTTCACCTCAACCATCTTGCCATTGATCTCGTGCGTGCCCATCATAATCTCGTGGACAACAGCGTCCTCCTGGAAAGTGACAAAGCCAAAGCCACGTGAGCGCTGCGTCTGCCTGTCGAACATGACGACAGCATCAACAACGCCACCGAAGGTCTCGAAATACTTCCTGAATTCCGCCATCATGACGGTTGGGGCCAGGCCTCCGACGAATATCTTATTGGTCTCCGCTGGCCTGCTGGACCTGGGCAGAGGGTGCCGGCAACGCGGGCGGGGGTAAGGCCAAGGGATTATGTTTTACAGAACGCAACCGCTACGAGCACAATGATCGACGACGGAAACGGATAGTTCTCGCTAATAAGAGCAAATATTGTGCACTATCGGCGCGAGAAAAGTTTGCAAAATTTTGCTCAAGATCGCCCGCAAAAGTTCCCAAACTATCGGCGCATCTGTTTGCTCTCATAGAGAGCGTACATGACCTTAACTTTCTCTCGCGACTTGATGCTCCCATGAAAAGCGGTGTGGAAGAACCTGCCCCTGTCCCTTCCCGTTGTACTTTTCGGGCCTATCTGTGAATGTCACCTCAGACTGTCGTAGATTGTGACGTCAGATGACCTGTCGGAGATCTACCGTCGGGGTGTTGCCACAGATACAGTTAGTGTATGATGGACGCTGAAACCTGCTGCAGCGGGCTCCTTCCCCAATGACTCATAACACAACTTTACGTACTCTTCAGCCTCTCCCACAATACGTTGAACCGGTGTGTATCCATACACCACACGTCCCTAAAGAAACTTAGCCATACATGAACCTGACATCCGTCTCATGGTTGGCGTCAGCGGCAGGATGAGATATTTTGGTGACAAGTTCCAAGTCTCACAACTATCAAAACACAAAAATTAGTTGAATGATGGCAGTCGCCGAACGTTACGGCCGACTTGATTCATGTATATCATTGGTACTTCACAATCACATGATTGTGATATGCATGTCAATCTTGCATCTTTCAATCCGGATTCAGGCCTCAAGATCGAAGTTAGGGGGGTGCTGTTCATGGCACCTGACTGTCGTAGATTGTGCCGTCACATGACCTGTCAGAGATCTACTGTTGAGGTTTTGCCACAGAGTCAGTACATGATGGACGCTGTACCCTTGTGCAGCGAGCTCGCTCCCCCCTGACTCACAACACAACTTTCGTACTCTTCAGCCTGTCCCACAAGAGGTTGAACCGGTGTGTATCTATACCACACATCTCTAAGGGAACATAGCCACATGTGAACCTGGAGACATCCGTCTCATATATCGCAGATTGGTTACACCGAAAAGACGCGTATGCAGATGACGCTTGTATAGACTATTCAAATGTTCTTTAGAATATAACGAAAAACATCTACTACGTCATTGCCAAAACACGATCGTCTCGCTCTGTTGTACTCGCCGGACCAAGTTGGTGAGTAGCTCCGTGGTATTGCAGGGCATGCTGCACCCCATGCAAAACGTATGTGCTGGAGTGAATGCCCCACTGAACGCTGCTGTGGTTGCTCAGCGAAGCCCATAGAATGCTTCCCTCGTGCTCGAGGGCCTATCGCAATATTGATCTGCGCTGAGCCCTAGGAATGTGCTATCGTACAGCATTAGGCAAGTGCCACCGCCACGGGCAAACGGAAGACAAACTGCCCATCCGGACAAGCTCGATGTGTATGGATCGGTGTGTTCTATCACAACTCGAGGCATTTTGCACAAGAAGTAGTGCTGCAAAGCACCCTTGAATGGCCAACGTCCAAGAGCGATGGAGCAGTACGATAATGTCAATCTACATATGACCGTCAGTCATAATTCCTCGAACAACTCTAGTTAAGATGGGGTGCTCCAACAGGGGTTCGTTGCCCTGACATCCTCGACCTACCTCGTGTATGCACGAGCTGCATTCAACTACTGTTCGCACCAAGTTCAACCAGAAAATCCTCCAACGCGATCCTCTTGTCACTCGTCGACAGTTGAGTCGAAATATACAATATTCAGTTAGCGCGAACAGGGGCTGTTTCTAAAAAAAAACATTCATGTGAACAAGGCATCCTGGTATATTATAGGACGGCAGCTCTCTCTAGATAGCAAGAAACACGGGTACCTGGAGGATGGGCCTGGCGCTTCGCTCTTGGGTACTGCGCGCTTGACATCCACAACCTTGCCGTCAATCTTGTGCTCCTGAGACAAAATCTCATCGAGAACTGTTGTGCATGTGTGATGGCACGTGCAGCACGCGATGGAGGCAGCAGGCCAACAGGAAGAAGCGCTCTTAATTGCGTGGGAATCAAGGACTTGGCAGACGGCATGGGAAAACCCACGGCCAACGACTCTGATTCCACGATCTGCCCAGGTGCCCGCTAGCGGTTGGGTGACAAATTTGGGTAACGCAATCTCTGAATAAGGTTGGCCACATCATTGGAGGCGGGGAATTTGCAAGGTTGGGCACATTGAGGCGGGGCAACTGATTTCGCGAATTCTGTGGAGTGAATTACCCGTAACATCCTCGAACTTGATGAAGCCGAACCCCCTTGGATGCCCGGTGTACTTGTCCTTCATAAGCGCAATGTCCGCTAGCGTGCCGTACTTCCCGAAATGATGTCTGCGCGAACATTTTCAACCGCGTGTGAGAGGTCGTTGTTGACGTGTGGGCGGGTGGACGAGGGGATCTGACGACCTGACGTAGGTAACCTATATAGCAGACACGGGGCACCGGGCCACAAAACTCCCGTACATTCTGATTTCTCGGAACTTTAAGATCTGTGGTTTCCCTCTCAAATTTCAAGATAATTCTGAAAAGGTGCTTGCGTCGATTTTTGAATTTCATGTTTCGTGTAAAGTGGTTGTGCGTGCTTTCGGTATCCGCTCACAGGCACATGAAGGAACAGACCAAATAGGGTAAGTACACATCAGCAGCATCGGGATAACCTACAGTGGTCAGTCGAGCTGCCAGAGTACATCATGAACGCCCAGAGTAGTGGATTTTGGTAACGAAAAAAAAAACACCTGAGGCCCTCCTCTGTTGTCTGCCAAGATATCCCGCCGATGAAGAGCTTTCCCTCCACGTCGTTGTCTTTATCGTGAGCAACAGTACCGGCAATCCCCGGTGCCTGAGGCCCTCCCTGGTTGGAGGAGGATTCTTCCACAGCCTTCGAGAACCCTGAAGCCGAAGCAGGCGACGACGTGGCCCCAACGGCGGCCGAGGCAACAGCAGCTGCCAGCGCACCGGCTTCCGGAGCATCCCCTAAATTCAATCTCTCGACCCCTTCTCCCAACCCATTCACGTCCATCCTAGCTGTATTGCGCACAACACAAACCAGACGTCGACAAACGGCAGAGGGTTGGTCGGACCCGTCGTGAACAGAAACGAATGTATGGAACCCGCACGTCGGGGGGGCAACCTGTTGCGCGCACATCCGACATTCAATGCCTACATTTTCATTTTTGGGGCGCCGAGAGAGCAAAAATAGAGCCGCTGCTGTGTCGGGGCAGCTGCCAACCTTCAGGCGGCCTAACATCACCTGCCTACACATTGCAACACGAGATTGGTGCCTTCTCACGCCTCACCTTCGCGTGTGTGCACGGATTCAACTGTGTGCTCTCGCTCCTCCACCGCACACACCTGTTCTTCGCGATGGAATGCCCGACCTGTCTCCGTTCGATGATATGTACACCGTCACCAACAAACTTCTATTTTTTTCTTTCCAGGCGCTACCAGTAAAAATTGCCAAAATTGGTGGTCGTTGGGGGCTGGGGAGCTCAAGCGTGTGTGCAAATCGGGAGTTGGATAGCCTGTATTTTTTCAGACCGCAAGAGGTGGAAAACGTCATACTTCGGACTGTTCGTAAGCATTTGGTGTAGTTGAACGGGGACATACATGTAGCTTATCTGGGACCATCTGGCTGATCGGATTGGGATAGATACACCATGAGCTCCCGCGAGGGACGGTAGCGAAGGCAACAAGACAAACTTTCTCTCGCACAGAGGAACTAAGGGGGCCGGGGAAATCCCCACGTTCCTCAAGTGGAAGCCAGTGTAGAAGTTGTATGCGCGAGCTCATGCAAATACAACCAGCGGGAGCTGCTGCACACGGAGCTGGCGAATGGGTGTACGTTGAATTGTAACCGGTGGTTGAAAGGCATATGTTGCTGAACAGAACGCGTCACCACTGAGCACCTTGGCAACAACTATCTTCCAATTTGCAACGTCTATCAAAATGTCTCCTTGTGTCTCCTTGTTTCTCGCCAAATTACCCGTCTACGCCGACAATCTCTCTTACAGAGGATCCCAAAAAAATATAATCTGCCATTCAAGAAGCGGAAATTTACGAAGTGTTGATCTGATGAACAAGTCAAGTCCATTCATTGTCTCGACGCAGAGACTGCGACCACCATCCAATCGTTGGGTCATACGATAAAAAAAAAAAATCATCACAGCTACATACACGTTGTGGGGTATATTGCATGGTTGACGCTATGATTCCATTGTTAATCTGTCTTTTGACTCTTTTCTACATGATAGAGATGGACTCGTTGTGTCATATAAAGAAAAAAAAATAAAACTATACTGATTATTTAACTTCGACAACAAAAGACTATTGTTGCGGCCGGTCGGTATGTTGCTTACGTACCGCTCGTCAGGCCAATCAATCTATTTAGAATGTTCTATATCATAGGTTCGGTGAGATGTAGCTAGTAGTCCGGCGGTGGATGCACCTCTCTCTCTCTGTCGGTTTCCGAAAAATGTGTCGTACTCATAAACCAATTAGTCTCCCTACACAAACTTTATTTAGTCGAGATCAGACCACATCAGGCAGCAGTACTGTTACAGTCACCAGTTAGTCGAAGGGGATTATTTAGTCTACATTTCCAGCAAGTGAGTGGGAAGAGTTGGTTTTTGCTCACTCACTCGGAACATATATTTACAATTACTTGCAGAATATGTATGAAAAAACTCCCAGGGGATGCCGAAAACCACACGTTTTAAGTGGGGCCGTGTTCCATGGTATAATGGGTGTAGCTGTTGTGTGCTACGGTTTTTGTGCAACTTTTCGGGGCGACAAATGTCATTCTGTTTCGTCTACTGGAGTCTCAGATTTTTCGTCTCCGTAAATTGTTGAAAATATTGTGTGTTCGTCCGCCATCCATCTTCAAACATTTGTGAAAAGAGGGAATCGTCCTCGACGAACGTCGGGGAGACTTTACCCTTTGTGAAGAGGATCTCCACATAAACACGGGTCGCGATTTGTGTATCGACCGAGAGCGTCTCCAAGCAGGTGCACAGCAGGGCGTGTGTTCACCAATATCCCCGTACCGCCCAACACCACACCACCGGCGCGCGAAACACGCTTGCGTGCTTGCTTGGCCAGAGATCGGAGTCCCCATGCAAGGACCCATCTTACCCGTAGCGTTGTCCCCCCCTTTCTCCTTCGTTTTACTTGTTTTTTTATTGCTGGTGATACCGCTGCAACCATGGCTTGTGCCACGCTTACTTCGCAATACAGACAAGCGTCGCAATCCTCGAAACGGAGGAAACAAACGTCATGGGTAATCAGCGTCTACTAAAGGAAGAAAGCAAAGGTTGTCGTGTGTTCTCCTCCCAGACAACCTGAGCAAGTCAACCGTGCCGCAAAATTCGGGAGGAGAGGAGGGCGAGTTTCCCCATCTGCGAACAAGCTATCGCAAACGTAATTAATCCAACAACAATTTCGATACCGTCTCAGTTCACACGTGTGTGTACAATCGTCACGCCGGCAATTAATGTGCACGATGCTCGACGGCCGTGGGTATTCCCTCACCATCAGCACAGAACGGCCGGGTGTAATCCAGTCTAGGGCCTTCATACCGAGGAGGTAAAAAGCAATTTCTCATGTATATGGTGATGCTCGTCGCCACGCAAATCAGTTCGTTTCTCACGTCCAAGGTGTTCACACGTGCTACATGTACAATCGTTACACCGGTAACTCATGTGGACGATGCTCAACGGTAGGGGGTGTCTTCGCACCACCAGCAAAGAACGGCCGGGTTTAAATCCGGTCTAGAGCCTTCATACCCAGGAGGCTAAAGCATTTCCTCATGGTGACGCCCGTCGCCTCGCAAAGCAAGAGTCGACTCGTTTGTCCATCCGAACCCAGGACCCGGCAGTTGGTGACGAAGTCCGTGAACTTGGTGGCGAGAGTGTGAAGGTACTCACACAAGCGGTTGGGACCAAGATCAGCCAAGCATGCCTAGAGAAACAAAAGAAAACAAGGGGGGACATTTCGTGAGATCTTGCATGAATGGCGGAGTCGTGCTCGTCAATATTTCACGCACGAAGATGGATTCTGCACGATGACATCTACACTTGGATTCGTAGAGTACGGGCGAGGGTGGGGTGACTGAATAAGTCATGAAAACCCCACAAAAATCTTCGGCAAAAAGGGTACAAAAAACCCTCGTGACTGGCTGAGTCATGAAGACCCAAAAGAAATCTAAACAAAGGAGTACAAGAAAACCATGTAAGTCGTGCGTTCTTTTCCAAACGTTTGGACTTGTCAAGCTCTCCTTACACCTCCATCGGCCTGGTGGAAGGAAAACCCGTGGAGGAAAACATCCTCGCTTCGTTCGGGAGCGTGGATATCTTCTCCGGTTCATCTTGTAAAATAAGGCAGCACCGCTACCATATATGTTAGATATTGCGTTGGTTGTCTCGCCTAGACCCACTCAGGGCCCTCTTTGTGCCCTTGCATACGGGGAGTTGTGNTGGAAGGAAAACCCGTGGAGGAAAACATCCTCGCTTCGTTCGGGAGCGTGGATATCTTCTCCGGTTCATCTTGTAAAATAAGGCAGCACCGCTACCATATATGTTAGATATTGCGTTGGTTGTCTCGCCTAGACCCACTCAGGGCCCTCTTTGTGCCCTTGCATACGGGGAGTTGTGACTGTTTTTCATTTCGCGAGCGCAGCATTGTTATTTTTCTCTGCCGTCCTTCGATTTCGACCATGGCGTTGTTTTGGCACTCTTGCGATATATTCGCTTGTTTCCTTGTGAACGGGGTCGAACGGACGATGACAACTTGGTGGAGGTCAGAAAATTTGTGTTCGGTGCATACAATGAAGCTATAGAAGCCGAAATCAAACCATTAGACTTCAAGTATGTGCTGACTGTCAAACGGTTTGATTTCGACTTCTGAAAAGCGACGGCAACGGTATCAACAACAAGTAGAGGGCCGAAGGGTTGCACCCTGATACTGGAGAATCGATCGATCGACACAGGTTCGCAGTCCACACGCCATCTACGCAAGACCAACGCTCGAAGCACGACGGCGAGAAATTCAACTGTCGGGCAGCAAATACAAAAAATTCGAACACTATTATATACGGCGGGGTAATGAGCCGCTGGGTAGCCGACCCAATACCTCGCAGCAGTCTATCTGCGATGCTTTGGTGTGGTGGCGGCTGGCAGCCGATCGTCAACAGAAAAGGCTCCTGCAACGAACGGCCGTTGTCGCGTGTGCATACAGCAGTACCGTAGGTGACACGAGATACCACACCCCCTGGACCAATTTCAAAGATCGGTTGCTCCGCACCACAACAAGTGGCGGTGCCGATAGTGTTGATGTAGGAGCCGTCTCGTCGAGAGCTTTCCGACAACGTCTTGCTGGGTGTACGCATCCTCTTCAACGCGGAGTACAGTCGACCCCGCTTGTAGGACACCCATCGTTTTTATATTTTCAAGTGTCCTTTACACGGGCAAGTGTCCCTAAGATTCCGGGGGTGATAACTCACCATCCCCTGGATCAACCGAGGCATAAGACAGAGCAAAATATGTGCGATTGCAGCAGGGATACTAGCACGAAACGAAAATATCATTGAACCTGACGATCACATCGTGGTGTGGTGAATGAAAGCTGCACGCACTTACACACCACGTAGTTCGCTGTTGACCTTTACATTGGAACACTCCACCCCTCACGCAATACTTCGAGCAGTGGGAATAGTGCTGCAGGACGGGATACTTAATTACAACAGCAGGGTGTTGTTGTTGTTGTTGTCGTTGTTTGTGTTGGCGTTATCATCTACCAGTATTTTTTTGGAGTTGTCCCCACATTTAAAAACCTTGCCGAGATGCATGTATATCTTCATCACAAAAAAAAACGTAACCAACCGTTGTTGCAACTCTGATACCATGCGCACCCTCTCTGACATAGTTTACCTCCCAAACAGGGAACGAGTAAAACTATATATGGAAAAAAATTACAACTGTCGGGGTACACAACGCCAGAAAATGAAATACGAGAAACATCCCGAACAAAGATAGGAGACCATCCCTCCTGCCCAAAGGTCAAAACCAAGCATAATTTCCAAGCCAAGCAAAATTATCTTCGCGCAGTAGCGGCGACAGCAGCAGCAGCACTACGCAGCGCAGCACCGCTTGCCGTGCAGTGTAGGGTGCTGTGTAGGTGTGCGGCAGCATCATTTGGGGGTCCCGCATCAAGAAAAAGGTACCCCCCTTTCAACAATATTGTATATCTGTGGGCAACCCTGCTGCTGAGGTTTTCTGTGTCCTCAAAGAGGGGTCGACTGTACTCAAGCTTGAAAATCGGTACAGGGGGTGTGGCATCTTACGTCACCGGTAGACGTCCTACATACGTTCCCCAACCGAACGGATTGGTTTTCGGTGGATTCTCGACACAGCAGCTGTGACGCAGCAGCAATTGTTAAGCTTTTCCCCGCGAGCTGTGTGTATGCAATGTCTTGTGTGGCGGCTAATAGAGGACACGGGGCCATAGGACCCACGGAAAGAGGTGGCGAGAGTCGGCAAAATGTATGCATGCAAGAAAAAACACCCGCCGCAACAAGAAGGCCTTTTGCCCGTGGCAGGCACTGGCTTGTTTCCAGGTGACCCCTCCCTAGACACCGAAGCAGCAACGACAACGGCAGCCGCCACAAGCTTGGTGTGTGGCTCCCTTCCCCATCCTGTGCTGTGTTGCCCCTCCCAGTGATGTTGCGTGTTAGGCTGAGTGCTTTCTCTGTTCCAACTGCGTGTGTGTGTGTGGGACATCTCCGATTTATTATCCTCCTTCCTCTACAACTCCGCGGGGATCGGGGGGGAGTATCTCCTATGGCTTTTGGTTACAACTGCCGGTGAATCATGGCCACCTGCTGTCGGATGAAGACCAAACCGGTGTGGTGGAGAGAACCCTATTTGTCTTGTTCCTCACAGGCAAGTAGATCGTCAATCGGTGCTCTAGAGATCTCGTGCTGATCGAAAAGGATGGAAAATTCAGGCGGCCGTTTATTGAAACTTGGGCCCCTGGTAGATAGAGCCTACTTTTTCCCTCCTCGGACGGAGGGAAAAGAGCGGTCGCGCTTCGCGCTCCGCGGCTCATTGTGAACCACGTGATGACTAAATAATGCTCGGGTGATACATCACAATTACACGCACGAGTACGCGCGGGTGAGCCTGCGGGTGACGTCGATCGAAGCACCACCCACGATAGCAGCATCTCTGTAACACAGCAGCACGCAAGCCGTAAAACCTGCAGCTACTTCGAAACACCTGGTTGGCTGGGACGGCAATACAAGTGTTGTTTGCGACCTCACCTCTATGACATCACTGAACATCAGCAGCTCGAACGCCAACGCTCGTTCAGATTCGTGCTCTACCGACACCTTCTCCGGCGAAGCCTTGAGAGCAGTAACGTCGACGTGCAGCTCATCTTGTGCTTTGAGCAGAATGGAGGCCAGTCGGGCGTGGGCGAACTGCAAGTAGACCGCCGTGTTACCCCTCGTGTCGAGCATGCGGTCGTAGCTGTTAGGGAAGGATTAAGCGCCGGGTTAGTTGGGCATTGCGTTTCGCAATATTTTAATCCGTTCGCTGTCAGGTTCGCTCTGCTGGATTCTCCAAATCAGTCAATCGGGGGGGTTCGTCGCGGGACTGCCAATTTTGCATATTTTTGTTGAACATCTTTCTGATAAAATAAGGTGTGCATGCCCCCAAATGCTGCATGCCTGCCAACATGATAATCTTTCAGCAACCCTACAAATCTCGTCCGAACCAAAACGCCGATCATGTGGGACAACATGGTCGTATTGAACTAATACTAAAACAACGTGCACTTGGCCCCGACTCAAATCACACATGAACAAACAAGAAAAAAGAGCGTGAGCGGAGACTTGTGTGGCCGCACGCCCGTGAATTCGCCGTACTGGTCAAACAACCGTACCTGAATACGTACGAAGTGCTGGGATGTTGCCTGAGGTCATAGTACTTCACAGCGCCATAGCCAATTTCTGCCGCGGCCGCCGCGGCAGCTTCTTTGGTAGTCGTCATCTTGCCTTCATCCATTCGTTCTTGGATGCTTGCCTGCGTAAAGCACCGTACACGGCGGCGGATGTAAACATGCACCCATCTACCACAGTCTGCCTGCGCGGCACAACACGTCGAAAAACTCTTTCTCCTAACACAGCGGAGTCACAGCGAAGATAATTCCGTGCCGCGTGTCTCACTTTTTCGAGGTAAATCCACTCATTATAACACACCTAACAAGAGCCATTACTGCTCAAAAGTAATGTGAAACGGTTTGTTGATACATAGAATGAGGATCCTCAAGAGGCAACCATCTCATTCTGTTACGCCATGACCATCTTGTCGTGCAATTGCTCCCAGACACGCCCAATTTCAACTTTCTCACCGCCATCCGTCGCACAGCCTCATCCAGTAGATCAACCAATCGAACCGTGTCCCCCGAACGCGTCTTGTACTTCTTTCCGTCCGGGCCAAGCACAACGCCGAAGCCTAAGTGCTCTAGTTTGGTGCCCTCGTCAACCCATCCAGCTGCTCGTGCCGCATCGAAGCACATGTGGAAGTGACTGGCCTGAGAACGGGTGACACAAGAAACAACCGAGGATACCCCATCAGAGAAGATGCACCTACTTTACAATACGACGCATTCGCAGATAGGCTCTGCCGTCGTGTTGAGCGGCTGGATACGGCAGAGCAATCTGCTGGAATCTTTATCTTGCGTCAGATGCAGAGGAATAGCCTTTGAAAACAACTTGTGACCAGCAGTCGTGAGAACCTGCGATACGTTTCAAGGGCGTCATTTCACCTGCCCAGCATCAGTGATGCCGATGATCCAATCGCATTTTAGCGTTTTTAGTCGGTACCGGATGGCGGTCATGTCCGTGGAGTCGTATCCAAAACCACCTTGATTTGGATAAAAACAGGGAAAAGCGCGAGAGCGAGGGGGCCGAAACGGGGGCAATGGCAGTTGATTGTCATCGCCAGCTTCAATCTTCAACACCAACCAATATCACATGCGTGGCAAAAATCGACGGACGGTTGGGAACTGGTGCCTGGACACCAGTTCAGCGGTTTGAACCATGGCTTGAGTGGCATGTGCATACGTATTGAGAGCAACATCAATACCAACACAAACAACACACCGCCAAGCGCACAAATGGTCACCGTGCTGGAAGTAGACGGCATTCTTACAGGCTCTAAGACGGATAGGGACCTCCACACGCAGTACTAATGCTCACCGTCTCGCTTGCGCACGATCAGGGGGTACGTGAAGTGTTCCAGCCGAACGATATCGGCACCATCATCCCTTGACACGAGGCCGGCCTCGGCCAGCATGTCTATCGTGGACGGGATCATGTCGTTGTAGAACGACTCGCCGTGCTCCTCCAGAGTGACATCCAGGCGATCGTACACCTTCTGAAATTCCTTGCGACTTATGTCGCACAGCAACGTCCACACCTCCTTGCATGCCGGGTCACCCGACTGTAGGTCCACCACCGTGTTGCGCGAAGCCTGGAGAGTGGGAGTTCGGAGTACATAGAACGTTGGATCGTCAGGCAAAAAAGACTGCACCCCTAATAGTATCGTTGGTTCTCGGTTTACTCCTTGCACGATTGATCTATCTCTTCAAAGCTTGAGGATGAGGAAGAAAGCGGCATCAACTATGGACAAGCTGGTGCATTGAGACTCGCGTGGCGATACAACGGCGCCTGCAGCATCAACCCGTACTATGCGGAAACGCCCTCAACAGCATCAAGGCCGAGTGCGGGAGACCATGCGTGCGATCAGGATCCGTAGTAGCCAAAACAGTTTGTCTGCAAAATTTTGCAAATCGTTACCTCCTTGAACTCCTCGCTCTCGTCGAAGCGAAGCTTAGCCGCCTTGTAGAAGGTTGTGAGGTCTGTGATGTTGGGAGGATCTGTGAGGAAGTTGGGGTAGGCCTCCTTCATGTAGTTGATGAGCATGCCGAACTGTGTCCCCCAGTCACCGACGTGGTTATGTCTGAAAACCTGGAGGGCGCGGGTGCCGGTGCATGAAAGTGCCGAAGAACTGCAGGTGTGCCTCCATTTCTAGCTAGAACGAAGGTGTGTTTACTACTGCCACCACCGAAATTCCACCATTTCGATAAGTTGATGGTGGACAACAATCATCCATGTTTTTCACAAGAAAACATGACATTGCAAAACCAATGAGCTAGGAACAGGGATGGGTAGCGAACCAAAACTACCTACCGTGTGGCCGCAGAACTCTAGCACGCGGCATATGGCCTCCCCAATGATGGTGCTGCGAAGGTGCCCCACGTGCATCTCTTTAGCGATGTTTGGGCTTGAGAAGTCCACCACCACCCGCATCTTCTTCACTTCTGGCGGCGCCGGTCCATTCTGCCAAACGGAACAACATCAGGCATCTGGTGACAAATGAACGCTCTGCTCTCCTGACACGGGTTGTCACTTTCCTGGACATACCATATCATTATCTTGCAAGGAGCCCTACGTGCCTCAACCAACAGAGACGCCGCTAACAGATCATAAACCAATTGTCCAACTTGTTAATCATACCTTGATGACCTTCGCGATGCTCTGATTGATGAACGCCGGGCGGAGGCGGATATTGATGTACCCTTGAGGTGACACAGATGTCGTGTCTACCAGGGGGTTCACGGGAAGTGACGCGACGATGGCCGACGCTGCAGCCTGGGGGCTCGAGGGTGCCCCGTCGCCTCCCTGAGGATGATGACAACACAAAGGCATCCGGCTCAGCGATCTGCCCTCATGGTTGATCAACAAGCTCACAATGTGGCACGCGCAAAAGCTGTAGAGGCGTTCAAGACGCGTGACACAACAAAACGGGGTGCGGTCAAGTGTCAGAAAAGGCGTGGGCCTGGCACGAACCAAGGAAATACGTTTCTTCGATATCCATTCCCACTCACCTTGAGGGCTTTGAAGAGAGCCATCGCAGCATTGCACTGGAAGTCGCCGTTCTTGTAATCGGCGCACTTTCTCACGCTGGAAGAGGTGATTCCAGCACTCTTTGCCAAGGGCCACGCCTTGAACATGGCCGCATCAAACATGGCCAAAAGCGACGCTTGAAGGCCAGCCTTTAGACTGACGCCCGTAGATGCCTAGACAGTATCATACAGAGGAGAAGTAAGGGATGATCACAACCTTCATCCATGATTCAGAGCCGGTGAGACCAGGCTGCTGCACAACGTTTGCACCAGGGTGGCCTACACCCAGAATCTTGGACGCCTAACGGAGAGACCATCCGTCTCTACCGTATGTATTGTTGACGTTTTGTTCGCGCGCACTCGCCTTGATGAAGGTATCGATGGTGCTGGCTGCTTGTTTACATGCGGGCATTTCCCCAACCCGCTGCGCATAGGCCAGAACCTTGGCGAGAGTAGATGTTGCTTCGGCCTCTCCAAGAACAGTGATGGCCGCCTGCGCCGTAACACCCACGACTATGTCCGCAAGAGACGGCTCGTCCTGTTTTGTTCAAGGCATGGAAGGAGGAAGACATCGAAACAAAGGGTCAAAGCAATCGGGCGTACAAGAGCGGCCGACACGGAAAACTCGACCCATCAACAGCACCGGGCCTGTTGGAAATAAAAACACAGTAGTAAGCATTCCCGTTCCATCGTTCCGCTCACTTGAGGTTGGAACCAGACAGCACTGCCAACGCTACACAGTGGCAACGACAGTGATGTGCTCTAAGCAACCGACCGTTGATTTTTTGGCCATATACTACCGATAGTTCCGACACTCAGCAACTGCATCTCACCCCCTCAAGCAACCATGTTCCGGTGAGTTTGTCCTCCAGGTGCTTCAGCGCGGCCAGAGCCTCGGTCGGCACGGAACCGCCAGCCTCTTTCGATGCAGCGAGAGCCTTCTGTGCTGGTGCGAGCGTTCCTGTTTCCCAGTCCAGCCACTCCTCGACAGCTCCGGCAGGGTCTGTCGTCGGCCCTTTCGGCGACGAAGACTTGCCCTTATAGGAAAAGTAGCGGCACACCGCGTTCGACCCAAATATCACGGACATCCCGGTCGAGACCGCACAACCCGATGTAGAGGATAGCTCACCTGAGCAAACAAATCAAGCACATGGTAGATGCACCCGCGTCACACGGCCGTTGGTGTTTCTCAGATTCCAGATCAAGCATCGAACTTAACGAGGTACGTACAACACACACGGCCGCAACAGCATATGCGTCGCATCACCCATGCATGCAGCGCCCTAGGGGCTGGAGACGACAGAAACACTAACATTTGAGAGAACGACATCAGCTCTCAGAACAACTGTCCGCTTTTCACACACACACACTCCGTCACATGAGACCTTTCCCGCAAACTAAACACCCCATCCCAGCTGGACGATCCTTCTGCATCGTTGGCTTTCGCCTTCAGACATTCGCTGACTCGCAGTGTGCGCCTCGAAGTGTACTTCCCTCACCTGCCGGATTGGTGTCGGCTACTTCCACTTCCACCCCAAAGAACTTTGCAGCGGTCAAGCATTTGAGAGGGCCGGACCCATCGCTGCCGAGGTACATGGAAGGGAGGGACGATCTTGAAGCAGCTGGCGCCGGGGCTGCTGCCGGTGGGACACACGATCCGGCCACAGGCGCGGACTTTGCACCCTTCGCCGCCGCCTTTTTAGCTGCCTTTTCCGCTTTCTTGGCGGCGTTCTTGCTCGGGCCTGAAGACGACGGCGGTACATCGCCCTGCCAAAACCAACGAAGGTGGCGGTGTGGGAGAGTAAATAAAAAATACTTCGTGGTTTCCGATGAGGCACGGAGTCCTCATGAACATGCTGGACATCATAACAGAAATTCCAGAAGGTGCATGATAGATACTCTTGGGCGTGTCGGCGTTGCGGCAAATTCACGATAGCTTGATTACCTTAAAATCTTTGCGTATGTGTAGCAATACAGCAAGATAGTATCAGCTACCCACAGGAGCGGCAAGAGTGGCATTCATCGTTGACGTGGAGTACGCATATTCTCCCGCCTGTCCTCGCGTTCTCGGTCACGTAAGCGCTGCAAACTGGCAGGACGAGCGCTGGTGGACACATTCCAGTGCACTTGCGGAAATTCCTGAGGAAAAAGCCGTGCCTGTTTACCGTTGCTTTGGATCGACTCACCTGCGGCTTGGGTGTGGATTTGGCTTTCTTCTCCTGTGGTGGCGGAACGTAGTCGCTGCCGGTGACCTCCTTGTAGTGTTGCTTTGCCTTCATAAGCTTTGCGACCTGCAAGACATGAGACATCGGACACACACCGATGAGGCGGTACATGAACCGGAGCACAAGCAGCAGCCAGTCACCGAGGCTCACACTGCCGCGCGAAACCAGGCCAAGTCCGCTCAATATGATTGTAAGATTGCATCAAACACGACAACGTATACTACGCATACGAGCATGACATCGGGCCACGACTTACTGAGCGTGCGGCTAGTTTGCCATGATAACAGATTGCCACAGCAGTCAACAACATCAATGTACTGGCTCAGCGTGGCGGTGAGGATGCACAGACGGTGGTAGTGGCGAGAGGTGT